AGAAGTTCAGCCCTGCAACTTCAGGAGCATCCAATACCAGGAGGCTGAGGGTCCTCGGGGACTTTGCAGTCGTCTCCATGACTTTTGTAGGCAATGGTTGAGACCAGAAATGCACACGAAAGCCCAGATGCTGGACCTGGTGGTTCTGGAGCAGCTCCTGGCTATCCTGCCCCCAGAGATGGAGGGCTGGGTGCGGGAGTGTGGAGCAGAGACCAGCTCCCAGGCGGTGGCCGTGGCTGAAGGCTTCCTCCTGAGCCAGGCAGAGGAGCAGAAGGAGGGGGTCCAATTGCAGGTGAGACACTTTAATCAAGGGAGCTCTAAGGGGAATAAAGAATGTGGGTGAATGCTTCACCCCTCCTTCCCAAACTTCCCTGGGATTCATAATATGTGGATATTGTAAGATATTGATCCATTGTTTTCCCATTCAACCACATGGATATTGATGGATATTTGGGACTTTGAGGTTGCTTTCCTAATATAAGAATGCACTTTATGTCCTGTGATGTACATTAATTCTGCTGCTTTTTCCCTTTCCCCTATTTGAAGTGCTGCACTGTGGAGATCAGAGATCCTGAGGGAAAGAAGAACCCATCAAATCCCCCTCAGAAGCCATTTTTCAGTGGGATCCCTTGGGAAGACCCAAGTCGGGACACCTCAGGAGGTAATCGAAGATCCTCCGATTACTCAGAAAGATCCCATATGTCTTACCTTCTTCTCTCCTGTAGAATACCTCCTCTTCTTTTGTTAAATATGCATTTTGAAATTATTTATTCCTCACAGAGAAACAACGAATGAAGTTTTCTGTTTTTTATGATGGAGCTCAAACAGCGGTTGAACCTCCAAATCAAGTAAGAAAGGGAAACTTCATTAGATTTGTATTCTTCTTTCCTACAGGAAGTGAAGTGGATGTGCAGAGTGCTCCCTCCTTCTATTTCCCACCCTTGTTTGGACTGGATTATTTTTGTGTTCCTGAGCGACATAGAAAGCATAACAGCAGGTTCAAGTTGCTCTCAACCAGCATTACTTCCTCTGTAGATTATTACTGGGATTCAATGGATTGGCATTTCTACCCTCAGATTCTGTTTAGGAAATGTTTTTTAAAGACCACAGATTAACTGGTTCTGCTAGGTACTCATCCAACTATGAGTTTACAAGAAGTAATTTTGTAGAAGTCCTTCAAGAAGTAGGAATAAACATATCACTGTGGTAGTAACTGCTAGAGACCTTTTCTTTTTGCCATTCTTTGACTAGGAATTATGCAAGGTTAACGAAAAATAGCTACATTACCATTTTTAAAGAGCCTTGTTAATAACCAGTAGTTCAAAAAATAAGCAAATCATGTTAAAAAATAAAAGCAGCCTTAAAATCCAAAGGGAGTGGCTTCTTAGACTGTGTAATCACAGTACTTTGGGCTAAAAAATAATTTCCAATCTTCTGATTTGTTCCTGGAGTAAGAGATCAAATGTTCCCGCTTTTCAAAGGCTGAGAAATGACCTTCACACAGAATTTTCTTTTCTTTTCTTCCATTCAACCATCTCCTTAGACTAACTAACTAGATTAATAAATGATAGAGTGATAGATCACTTGATCCAGAAGTGGGATTACTTTACTGAAAGGCACTGTAAATTGTGCAGAATCAATCAACTTAATAAAACTTGCCCCAAATATTTCTTCAGTCAAACAAATTTTGGGAATTATCTATTTACTCACCTAAAATTAGGACTTGTGTGAAGCACAGCCATTTAACCTTGCTTCGGGAATTTGGGAACAATGGAGCAGAATAACAGAGTTGGTAGGGATTTTGGAAATTTAAATGGAAAAATCTGCAATTATCATGGAATATACTACTAGGACTATTATACCTATTTCAAACCATTCCGATAAAATTGGGAAAAAATGTTTTGAGGAACTCAATAAAGTACTATTAAGATATATTTGGCAGGGGGAAAAAGCAAGAATAAGCTTAGAAATTCGGCAAGATTCGAGAAATAGAATAGGTTTTGGGCTACCAAATTGGGAATTGGAATGGAAGCACTGATTCACTAAAATGTTATTAACATGGAAAATATTGTTAGGTACAAAGATATTTTGAATGAAAAGGGGGAAGTAGAAAAGAATTGAACAAACAACGGATTGATATGGCATGGTACTCACAAGTGCAGATACATTCTACATAAGAGAAAAATGCTAAATGATACGTTTTTACAAAAAATTAACAGAATTAGACAAGATATTAACAGGGACAGAAGAAAAATTGATAAAGAAAACACAGCTACTTATTAAGCATTAAACTGGAAGATGAAAAGTGAAGGAGACAATGATAGTGTGGGCAAAAAACTTTGGTTATACAATAGAGTTAGGTAAATGGCAGAAACTGTGGGACAGGAACTGTAAATTAACAATGTCAACTGCATACAAAGAAAAACTGTATAAGATGTTTTATAGATGGCATTTTGCACCAGTGAAGCTGGCAAAGATATTTAAAGATAAGTCATATTATCATATGTGGTGGACATGCTCAAAAGCAAAAAAAAAACAGACAAAAATACATACGTGGCTGGAAAAAATGATAAAGCAACATTGATTTAAAGGCAGAAATATTCTTGTTGGATATTTTCCCTGAAAATATAGTAAGGGGAATGCATATTTAATATTTAAGATATTGCAAATCCTCCAGTTCTATTCTTTTTTCAGGAGAGTCTTGTGTCCTTTGAGGAGGTGGCTGTGTATTTCTCGGAGGAGGAATGGTCTCAGCTGGATCCTGACCAGAANCAACGTTTTCCTATCTCTTCTACCAGCTTCCTTATGCATGCCTCAGGTACTGTAATACCTGACTTTTGTAACAAGTTCTGTCACGTGTTTTTGCTGGCATAGAGACAGTCTGCAACCCATATTTACCTCTGAGAGGTCCCATAGGACGAAGCGTGCTTTGGGGTCTGTTCCAGACAGGAGGTAAGTATGCTGGCTGTTGCTCCCCAGAAGGGTGTCTTTGGTCCTGGGTTTCGGCACCAGATGTGGGTTTCAGCAGTCCATCAAGCAGTGGTGTCCAAAATGTCTGTCTGCCTTACACAGAGTTTATTTGGCTTTTATACAGTTTTAACAAGCAAAGCAAAGCAGGGGTAGCAACAGCATCTTATTGGTACATTTTACTTGTCTATATCTAAGTCCATCCCAGCCAGAGTAGAAGTTTCACATATCTCCCTGGTACTACGTGGTTCTCATAAACAGTTGAGGTCATTGGTCACTGAGATCATGGCCATCTAACGTGCATGTCTGTACGTAACCTTTCCTCTCGTCCCACATCTGGTTCTGCTAATTAGGTGAGCTCATAGGTATCCGAGATAACCAGCTACTGAGATCACGGTAGCTTACTACGCATGTCTTTACGTAACCTTACCTCTCATTCCTACATCTCACTCTTTTTTGTTTTGTTTGACAAGGCATTGTAAGAGGGGCTAGTAAAAGAATCATAATCAAAAAAGGAACATCCTTGCAATTGTTTATACAGGGCATATATACCTGACCCTGAGTCAATGCAGGAGAGGGTTTAGGGCAAAAAGCTGTGGTACACATATTTTGCAAAGGGAGGGAAGATACTGAATAAAACAGCACACACCAATCAAAATAGCACAAATGATGACTAAATAACATAGAACATTTCCCAATAGACCTGTAGGCAACCAAGCACAAAAACTTTCCCACCAGGATCCTAAAGTATCAATTTTCAAATCAGAGGCCAAATTGTGTAAAATATTGAATTGGTGCTAGATAGCTCATAATTCATCTAAAAGATTGAAACAACACATTAATTACTAAAATAGCTAAAAAAGAAACATTAATTATTTTTACCAAATTACACATAACAGCATTAATATTAAAATGAGCGCAAGCAACAAGCGCTGGCACACCCACTATGGATACAGCCAATGCTACATATTCTACTTTATTAAGCAAAGCTATCTCAGAGTCACAAGTGCTGTCCAGTGTGACTCCATGTCGAAAACGGCTTGAGTGAAGTTGCTGTTTAAAAAGCAAAACAGGAATTAACTGGCTAATACAACATTGTGCTTCACTAATATTAGCAGGAATGTAATTAAAAGTTTCTTGACCATAAGTAAAAAACCATCCCAATTGTATCTGTCTGCCCCGTGCCAGCTCAGCGAAGCAGTGGAAGTGATGTGCCAGTGCCTGGAGGCTGTCAGGGTC